AATTATCCTTCTATTTTTACAATAATTATCTTAATGCAGTATTTGTTCTTTAGAGACTGAGTTAGTTTACTCAGCATAATGTTCTTTAGTCTCTCCCAAGTTATATAGTATTTTTCAAAATTTTTGCTCCTGAGTGTATTGTGTGAATGTTCCACAATTTCTCAATCCAGTCAGTTGTCATTGGACATTTGACCTGTTTATGTGTTCTTGTATTGTTGAATAATGCTGCTATGAACATTGGCATACAAATCTCTCTTTATGTCTTAGTTCTAATATCCTTGGGTTATATTCCTACTAGTGAAATAGCTGGATCATACGGAGTTTCTTTGTTGAACTTTTTGAGTGGTTGTGCCGTTTTATAATTTCATCAACAATGTATGAGAGTTCTCACCTCTCCACATTCTCTCCAACATTTATTGTTTCTCTGCTAAACTTTGCCACTGCTACTGAGATGAGATGGTAACTTATTGTTTTGATTTGTATCTCTTTTGTTGCCAGTGATTTGGAGCATTTCTTCATGTGTCTGTTGGCCATCTTAATGTTTTCCTATATGATGGGTCTTTCTATGTTTTTTGTCCATTTCGTAATTGGGTTATCTATCTTCTTATTCTGGGGGCCCAGGAGTATTCTGTAAACTTTTGTTATGACAACCGTGTCCGAGACAGTATTGCAAAATGTTTGTTCCCAGTCAGTAGGTTTTCTTTTCACCCTGTTGAAAAAGTTTTTGATGAGCACAGAGATTTAATTGTTAGAAGGTCCATTTCATCAATTTTATCCTCTTCATATTGTACATTTCTCAGTGTATTTGGCAGTCTTTTTAAACCATAGATTAGGTTGTCTAAGCTTGCTCCCAGTCTGTTTCTTACAAACTTTATGGTTTTCAGTTTTACTCCCAGGTCTCTGATCTACCTTGAGTTGATTTTGTGTATGTGAGATGCGGATCCTGTTTCAACTTTCTGCAGTTAGCAGTCCCTAAGTGCCAGGCATAGTAGTTAAATTTCACAATGTGGTTACCTTCTGGGAGAGGCTCACAGGGCATTTTCCTTAGTGGGGAAGGTTCTGGTCGTCATTTTAGAAAGACTGACTTACTGTTGTTGAGCTGGAACCAATTCATAACTGACCTTTTAGCAGGTTTTCAGAGGCTGTCATTTGCACAGAGGATATTGCACATCTTTCTCCTCCAGAGCAGCTGGTAGATTCAGATCAGCAGCCTTTGATTTGGCAATCCAGCTCTCTCCCCACTAAGCCGCCCAAGCGCCCTTTTAGACAGAGATCATTAATGTACCTTTTCTCCTCTATGTAGCCCGGATCTGAACTTTTTCTCTCCCAGATTTCAAGGTTGTTCTTCCACTACTACAAAATCCCTGGGTCTCATTCCAGTAGTTGTAATTTCACATCTCCTATCCCTGCTTTCATCCCCTATATACAGCAAGACCTTTTTCTCTGAAAGTGTCAGATCCAAAAGAGACAAATTTTTACATGTACCTCACAGAAACTCCTTTCTCCCATTTTGGTCCAAGTAGGACATTGTAGGAAGACTTCACAAACTATATACTCAAACAATTAATGCTTTAGCTACTAATCTATATCTATATATGTTAGTACTGTCAGAGAACTGCCAGAAGGTCAAGATGGGTAAAGAAGAGGCTGTGACACTAGGGATATCATTACTCTTATCAGATGGATTTTGGCTAAATGGAAGGAATTCCAGAAGACTGTCTATTTGTGTTTTATTGACTATGCAAAGTCATTTGACTGTATGGATCATGACAAATGATGGCTAACATTGAGAATAATAGGAATTCTAGAAGTCTAAATTATGCTTATATGAAAACATATTGTGTGAACAGAGCAACAAACATTACATGATTTGGAATAGTAGAAGATGTGCATCAAGGCTGTATCCTTCTCTGTGCTTATTCAGTCTGTGTGCCAAGCAAATTATTTGAGAAGCTAGACTTTATGAAGAGTATAGTTTCAGGATCAAAAGAAGTCTCATGAAAAACTTGCATTATGCAGATGACACAACCTCGCTTGTTGAAAGCGAGGAGGACTTGAGCTGCTTGCAGCAGAGAATCAAGAACTATAGCCTTCAATATAGATTGTATCTCAACATCAAGAAAACAGAAATCCTCACCACTGGGCTAGTGGGCAACATCATGATACGTGGAGGAGATGGAAATTCTTAATTATTTCATCCTGCTTGGATCCACAGGCAATACTTTTGATATTAGCAGTCAAGAAATCAAAAGACAAATCATAGAGTTTTGGAACGTCTGCTCTCAGGGACCTCTCCAAAGTCTTGAAGAGTAGTGATGTCAGTCTAAAGATTAAGGTGTACCTTTTTCATGCCATAGTCTTTCAATTCACATGCTATGTATCTGAAAGCTGGACAGTGACTAAGGATGACAGCAGAAGAATTGATGTCTTCGAGTTGTGATGTTAGAGAAGTATGCTGACTATCCCATGGACTGCCAAAAGAACAAGTACATATGTCCTGCAGAAAGTGAAACCAGAGGGCTCCATCCAGATAAGGAGGGCGAAGCTTCATCTCACATGCTTTGGGCATATTGGTAGGAGAGGCTAGTCATTGGACAGGGACCGTGCTCAGAAGGTGGAAGGTTAGCAGAAGAGAAGAAAACCCTCAACAATATGAATTGACATGGTGACTACAGCAATAGGTTTAAGTGTGTCAGATTCTGAAAATGTTACAGGATAGGATAAGGTTCAGATTTTTTGTTCATAGGTTACTCGACAACAGTAAACAACAGCAACAACATCATATCTGTCAGTCCTGCAAGGGAACACAGTTGGTTAAACAGAATTAATATTTATTTTGTAGATACCATGTAGCCAGGCTACCACTTGAAGAGTAAATGAACTATCCTTAAATTGTTAGAGGAAAGAAAGAAGTAGTATGCCAATAATAATCAGAACAGTATTCTGGGTTTTTAAAATAGGTAATGAAACTTCATTCACATATTTCACAGTTTTCTTTGTGCTACATTTTTAATGAATAAATTGTTTAAAAAACCCTCAAATTGATATAGTTACTTTTGCCCATTTCCTCAGATGTCAAACTGCCTTCCAGAGTGATTGTACCAATGTATAATCAAAGTGGAAACTATTGAACAATATCATTAATGTCATATGCAAGTGAAATCTTGCTAAAGATTATTCAGAATGACTAGAACAATACATTGACAGAGAACTGCCAGAAATTCATAGCCTATCGTGAAAAGGGCAAGGACTGCATAAGGATGGCCATACCTGACCTTTACCAGCTTCACAAAGGGGAGTTGTCCCTGTCAATAGCATCAACAACACAAAACCAATTCTTGTAAGGTCAGACATGCTCCCATCCTCCTGTATCTCTTTCTACTCATCTCAGCACCAATCTTACAGCTTTACTGGGTCCACAATCTTCTATAATAGCTCAGTGACCACAGAGAACTGTATTGAGAAAGCCTAAAGGATATAGTACAGGTTAGTGGCAGAATACAGTCAGGACAGCTTCTGAAATGTGCTCACAGGCACTTTAGACTTGAGCCTCACAGTTTTTAGCCAGTGCTACAAAGTCTTCAGTCCTGTGAAAAAGGCTTTCAGCTCCACTTCCTTGGCAAAACAGTCTCAAAGTCTGTCCATCTCATGCCATATCTCTGCTTCACGCTGTGGCTACCATAGCTGTTGCCCCTAGAGGTCCTGGTCTGACTGGCAGAAGAGGATCTGGTCTTTAAGAATAAGTTGCATTCTCTTGCTTGTTTTTTTTCTGGTGGTAAGATTCCTAATTCTGCTTATGGGTCTGCTCAATTTCATGATGAAACTAGCCAATCTCCTTGTGGATTGATGAGACTAGCGAGTCACTTTGTGCCTAGGCTGACACACCCTGTTTGTATTTTTCCACCCATGGCAAAATAAGTTAATGGATAGTGAAGCCATTTTGAACAATAAACCCTTAACTCCACACCTATGAACTATGTAAAGGACAAATAAATTTAACTTGAGGAAGTATAACCAGTATGTTCCTTAGAGACATGGATGGTAAACCTTCACCTCACATACTTTTGTCATGTTGTTAGGTGGGATCAGTACTTGGAAAAATATATTACGCAGGGGAAACCAAGGACCAATGAAAGAGAAAAAGACCCTCAAGGGGAGAGATTGACACAATGAAGTTGAACATGACAAGAGATTATGACAGTAGTTTAGGATGCAGCTAGGTTCAGATCTGTTGTTGATATGAGTTATAGTCAACTTGATGAAAACAACAGAGGCACTTTTTTGTCATCATGCTTCTAGGGTGGTAGTGATTCTGGCAGCTGTCATGTAAAGGCCAGTGCTGAGGCACTGGGCATCCCTCAACAAAGAATTATCAGTTCCAAGATGTCAGGAGTGTCGACATCGACAAGGATTTGTCTAGAACTAGTTTTATCACTGACCCTGAGTCGGTCTCAGTTACTCAGGTACTGACTACATTCAGTCAAAGTCAGCATGGAAACTTGCTTTTTTCCATAGATTATATATTTCTTGCCTGGCAGAATTTACTATCAAATATTTGCAAATATAATTAGTTTTCATTTTTAATATGACATTTTATATGTTAAGAGCACATCCAAAATAATTTTATTAATCATTAAATCCACAAGATGTTTTGTGTTTGTTCTTAAATTTGTTTTATTATACACTCAAACAAATGATTTTCCATGTCTTCCTTTAAAAAAGTAACAAATAAGAGGCCTTTTTATCAAATTAAGAAGAGGGCTGGTGGCTTAGTCCATAGCCTTTTGCACTGCTAACTTTTGCTGTGATAAAAGGTCAGTGGTTCTAATCCACCAGTTGTGCTAAGGGAGAAAGATGGACAATCTCCTAAACCCAGTAGAGGGTTGCTGTGAATCTGAATGAATAGATTCAATGGCAGTAGGTTTAGTTCTGTTTTGGCTTGTGAGATTAGAAGAAATAAATGATAGTACTCATTTGTTTGTTTCTTTTCTTTTCTGTAGACTGACCGGGAGAGAATTTTTTTCTCGTTTCCCAGAACTCTACCCGTTTCTTCTTAAGCAGTTGGAAGCTGTAGCCAATACTGTGGACAGGTAAGTCACAAATTACGTGGTGCATAGTTAAATGAAGGATATGGTTGGATTTCTTTATTGAGAATTGCGGAACTGGACTTTGCATGCACTTCTTCTTTGTAACATACTGGATTAAAATAAGAAAATCTTTACTACACCACATTTTCTAGCTTACTGTGGTACAGTAGATTTTTACCTGAATAAATTGTGTAAAAGTCCTGTTACAATTTTTAATCTTGTTTATGATGTTGTACTGAAACTCTACCTGACATATTTTGTGCATATTGCAAGGAGGGACCAGTCCTTGGAGAGGGATGTCATGCTTGGGAGGGTGGAGGGACCGCACAGAAGACCCTCGATTAGATGGATTGACTCAGTGACTGAAGTAATGAAAGTAAGTGTATCAGAGCGATAAGGTTGGATCAGGATAGAGCAGGGTTCAGAGCTGTTGTACACAGGGTTGCTATGAGTCTCAGATGACTTGATGACACAAAACAATAACATAATGTTATATGGAACTAGTTCTTTAGAATCCCATGATAATTTCTTTTGTTAGGAATTACTGTTTTGTTCTTATTTTGTAATTTGTGGATTTACATACTCAACTTGTTTACTACTTCCCTGAAATTTTTCCCCTACTGGCTTATTACAGGTGACCACTGGGAAACTATAGCAGTTAGTTGTCCAGTATGGTCACCTGTGATCACAAGTGGTGTTGGTTTACCTGAACAAGATTGACTTGCCACTGTAGATTCATTAAACAAAGCCATTAAAGAATTTCCAGTCTGATCAAAGTATATAAAGAAGTTCACCATTGTCCTCTCAGTGTATGGGCATCTTTAAACATGTACATTTACCTTCTTCCAGCAATTTTTGCAGTTGATATGAGTTTATGCTATTTATAATGGGAAAATAAAACTATTTTCATGAACTTTACTTGTGTTCGACACATTTCTTCACATTTGTAGTTTGTCCAGTGAGTCTTTACTGGTCCTAGTGACTGTTTCTGTAAGTCTGCTGGGATAGTAAAGTTTCTCTCTAAAGAGGCTTGGATGTACTGTATGAACAGTGTTGTAAAACAGGGTACTCTAGTTGTGATGGCCCTTATTATAGAATTGTGTGTAGAAGCTCAATATATGACCTTAGCAGTAAAAGAACAATTTTAAAAAAGGAAAACGAGGTCTTTTTTTTTT